AGCCTGCAGTTTGGCTAACGGGTAACCCTCCTTTCCCGGGTAACCCGCCTTCCTGGCTGACCACGAATACGAGCGTGGTGATAATAAGACAAAAGAAAAAATGGAAGGGAAGAAAGTAGAGGGAACAACTAGTAACTTAGGCAACCGTAGAAGTTATGTAACAAAAACAGAATCACAACAAGATGCAAGCAACACGGGAAAGTATATGCAGAGAGTTACAGTAAAAGTTAAAGTTAAGCAGATGGGAGAAATCAGCGCAAGTGATAGCATGCTTACTTTTTCATGGAGGGCGAACCAAAGGGAGAGTAGGCGGTCACCTGAAGGCCGACCGACTTAGCGTACTGAATCAGTTTTTCGTTCAGAAAGTTCACTGAAATCTCCACTTGTAGCATCACCGGCCTAATGCGACAGATCTTGAGGATACGTTCAATCTGGGACTTGTTGAAATTCGATATTCCAATAGACTTTACTAGGCCAACATCAAACAAGGACTCCATTGCCTATGCAAGAAATCACATAGGAAAAGGGGATTACTTATGTTGTATGAAAGGCGAGGTGACAAGAAATGAGCATGAATATTTTATTCGTTTTTAAATAATTTAAAGACTTCGGGGTAGAAAGGAGGTTGTGGAGAGGCAGAGGGTGCAAAAACTCAAAGATAAACAAAACCGGATCATGCATGCATGCAAATCATCCGTAAAGTATGTACACGAAATAAATCGCTCATCTGAAATCGTTGTACAATTAACTACTATATACTCCCGATCTAAAACCGACAAGACAGCGGACTCGGGGCTCAATGGCTAGAGCGTTTGCCTCTGACCGGAGAGATGTGGGTTCGAGACTCGAATGTGACAGCAATTTTAGCTGCAACACTGGAGTTGGGTATCCCTACCTGACGACGGCAAATGAGCTAGAATGGGCATTCTAGGGTTCCGTGCCTTGTCGATAATACATAACATTAAAAATATGTTACTGAAACTTAATTAGTAACATTACAATTAGTAGTAGCCTTGCGAAACACACTCGCTTGGTCCGAGCTCGCGAGGCATCAACCAGGATGGGTACATCCTGAAAAACAGATCGGTGTAAAATTGACTACAATACCGGCAGTCTCTCTTTCAGTCTCTATTTCTGCTGTTTAAACGTATCCTTCGAATGCTTTCTTCAGTTGGTGGTGTTTCTCATACATTTTAGTTGACATTATAATACAACGACATTTTACAACAGTCAAGCAATTCGTGAATCGAATGCTTGATGAGGTTTTCCATCCCCTGCACGCCGAATTAATTGCTGCAAAGTCTTCCCGTGCTATGTGCCGAGGCTTCTGACACATGTGCTGCCGTATATCGGCACATCAGCATTCAGTACTACCCTTCCTAGCATGCTAGTTCACATATAAAGAAAGGGAAATCCAGAAGCTGAGATTGTATCTCTCTCCATAAAAAATGTGTAATTTATGCAAAGCTTTAGATTCTTGCGTATTTTGTTAATTTATCCCATGATCTCGATAAATGGGTCATTTTTGCTGAAACGCTTGGATGCTACTTTCAAAATAAAGCGCATTTCTACCCCTCTTTCTCTAACATCGGGAGAATGCTAACGTCAGCTACGAAAGATAACCGTTCAGCTGAAGTTCAAGATGGGCAGTCGGTACATGACTTAGCGTACTTCCATTAACACTCAAAGGAGTCATATGTCAGGTTTAGCCTACTGTCAATATTACATCAATAAGGTATCTTAAACTCAAGTTGCTGCCAGAGTAATTCGAAGTGGGTATCCAAGAGTTTGCTAAAACAAGACTCGTAAAATCGGACAATGGACTAACTAGTTGGCATTTAGACCTAATTATCTGCGAGCTTCCTATGGCCACGTGTTACTTCGGAGTAATATACCAAATAGCATGCATCTCAAAGACTGAAATGTTGGAAGCCGACACGAATAGCACCAGAAAAACAGGAAAATCCGGACAACATTAGTAACGGAAACCTGACGCTGGGTTAGGGCGGTTGAAGCCAAAAGCAATCACGGTGGTCAGTACGCCGCGCTATTTATATGTGCAGCAGTGAACGTTTAGAGATTTTTTTGAATCGATGCTTCGATTTTCATCAGGGAACCCAAAAAACGAGAATTACTTACTGAACATTTTAACATCTTAAAAACATTGATCCTCTTCAAAATATTGCCTACTAGCAGATATGCTGCTGTCCCCAACGGCTTTTCCATTATTATTCGAACCATTTTTTTCTTAATAGTTCTCTAAAAGAATGCTGCTAGGTGCCTCCAGGGATTGCTTTTCTCAATCTCCTGTACGTTCTGAAAACGCGTCATCTTTATGTTTTTTTTCATGCTTGGGCATTAGAAGACGTCATAATGAGCTAGATCAGGAGATTAAGTAAGGGAGGGGGGGTTGAGTGTTGGGAATTCCCTCATTCCCATGAATGTGCGTTCGACAGCGTCCCGCCTTGGCTGCGGACACAGGATTATCCTCGGATCTGATCGGTTCACGGCTGCGAGAAACTGTTTGGCTATTCTAGAGCTTTCGCTTCATGCGGATTGGACAGAACATAGCCAACCTGGGTGGGATGCTGTAAATGCATGCAGCCCTTCAGTGAGAATGACTTACTGGGTTTTAATTAATTTTCCTCGTGGCCGATTGTGTTCTCTTCCTCATCCCTACTGCTGGTTGGAACCACAATGTGGCAAACATACGTTTCGTGTGAATTTCAAGTACAATGCCAGGTCGAAACAGTGTGAAACTGTTGTCATGCTGTTGTCGCGCAAAATAGTTGACTTTTAACGCTGTGTGGACAGGCGCGATGTCATTATCAAGCAGCCAGTCCCCCCC